ACTATAAGTGTTAAGTATAAGGTCATAGCATTTTTACCCTTTTAGGTAGAAGAATAATAAGGAAAACACACTTAATAGCTCTAGGATCCAATTTATGAGCATGATGAGAGTGAGCAAAGGTTGTGCAACTGAAAGTTTTCAAGGGTAGATTTGTTTCAAGATGGATGGTAGGGTGAGACTCAGAGTTTTTTAAGTAGGGTAGAAAAAGAGGGAACATGACTAGGCATGCAATTTATGAGATAAGTGGCTGTAAGAATAGCGTCACCTAGAAAAACTTTGGGATATTGTAAATGAACATTAATGCATAAGCAACCTCAAGGTGTGTATTTTTTTCTTTTTGCAATGCCATTTTTTAGGGACTATTTGGACGTGTGCTTTTATGAATGATGCCATTATGTTTGAGAAAGGTGCCCAAGTTTTTATTGAAGTACTTTGTCCCATCATTAGCATGAAGAATTTGAATGGTAGTGTTGAATTGAGTTTTGAGCATCTTATAAAATTTAATGAAGGTGGAAGTGGCATCAGATTTTGTAAGAGGCCACTAATCACTTATCATAGGAGAAGGATACATTAGAAGCATAACTAAGTCAAAGCATTTATATTATTTTTATTTAAAGTGGTGTGGGAATGTTTATGCCACTGGCATGACTCAATCTAGATGAGACAAATAAGAGACTAGGAGCCATGTGCTAGGGCTTATTGAGGTTAGGATGACCAAAATGGGAATGAAACATCTAGGAGAGTTAGAGGAAAGTTGATGGCACAGAAAGGTGACAAAGTTCATGAGACTCTTGCTTGATGCCAATTGTTCACTCCATACAATGATCTTGAATAACAATATATTAATCACTTAACGTTGCAGTGCAATAAAGTATTCGTATTAGTTTACTAGTAGAGACAATTTTAAAAGAACGATTAGGAATGTAAAGAACAAAAGTTAAAGGTGTGAGAGGGGAAGGTCATGCATGACCAATACCTATGGCAATTGCTTTAGAACCATTAGCAAGAGTAATAGGAGGAATGGAAAAAGGAGTGGTAGTGTCAAGATGTGGGTTACCATAAAGATGACCAAATGCACCATGGTTAAGGATCCAAGGTCCTAGAGGCAAAGACTAGGAGAGACAAGTTGTGAGATTATCACATTGTACTATGCAGGCAATGGTAGGTGATTTGATTACTTGGTAGTATAGGAAAGCAATTTACTCAATTCCTTATTGAGTGGTCAAAGAATAACTGTCATTGAGATGTATTAGCATTCTTGCTCAAGGCAACATTTGTTGCCTTAGGGAGTTTATGTAGCTGCCCATTGAAGAGTCATGTGGAGGCAGTTTATAAGATTTTGAGATATCTGAAAGGTACTTTTGGTAGAGGGTTTTCTTTAGAAAACATTAGCAAAGATCCATATAAATTTACACTAATGCAAGTTGGGGTGGAATTTATAAAGATCAAAGGTCAACCTTTTGCTATTATTCATTTGTGGGGGAAATTTAGTTACATGGAGAAGCTAGAAGTAAAGAGTTATTTTTAAAAGTAGTACTTCTGAATTTGAATTACCAGCTTTAGCTTAAGGAATAACAGATGACTTGTGGCTGAAATGAGTCTCGAATGCAATACATGTTGGAGCAAGTTCACTAATAAAACTCTTCTATGATATAAAGCTGTCATAAGCATGGCCTTAAATCCAATACAACATGGTAGATCTAAACATATAGAAATAGACCGACACTTTATTAGAGAAAAAGTGGAAGGAAGTCTATGTTTGACATATTTGTCTACAAAGTTGCAAGCAACTGATGTTTTGACTAAAGGGTTACTTGGACCTATATTTGAGTATTGCATAAGCAAGCTAGACATGATTAACATCTATGATCCAACTTGAGGGGGAGAGTGAGAATATTTTTTATTTATGTAAATATTGTCTCTTTGTGTATTGTTTTTTAGTATTTATTAGGAATTATTAGTGATTATTCCCCTTATTGTATATACACTCATCATGTATCTCAATATTGAATTTATGAGAAATATTTTCTTCTCTCAAACTCCACGAGGAGTAATGACTCCAATATGAAAGTGCAAGAGGCAAGACATACTCAAGAGATGTGTTGGGACCTATAGGGCAGGCCTATAGACTTGAAAACCTTAAAGTGAATGCTCAGGACTATCATATATACTTTAGTGCTTTAGTGCTTTAGATTGACAAGGAACAAGGTAAGCTCATCGAGAGGCTTAATGTCTTACAAATGATAAAGCAATCTCGAAAACTAGATCCTATAGCTTTTGTGGTGCACCATGGTACTTTTGCTCTTCTCACTACTAAAAGCTACACGTGGATTGTTCATTTAGGAGGGTTCGATCATATGACCTTTGACTTGAATTTGTTTAGTACATGCTTGATCTTTTGAATGAAATTGATTTACTAGGATGCAAGCTTGTTGAGCCATCTATTATAGTCAAGAAAAGTAAGAAGTACCCCAAAAAGGCCAACAAAGATGAAGAAGATTTAGAAGCGGAAGAGGATATAGAGGATGAAAGTGAAGAAGAAAATGAAGAGGCAACAAATAAAGAGAGACGTCAGAAGCTTGTTGGAAAATTGGAAATTAATTTATTTATTCCGCACAAGACTTGACATCTCCTTTGGTGTGAGCATGGCAAGTCAATACATGAGTTGTGCAATGAAGAAACATCTAGAAGTTGTATACATGATCTTAAGATACCTGAAAGGTACACATGGAATAGGGTCATTGCTTAAGAGGTAGGAACAAAGATCCATAGAAATTCACGCTAATGTAGATTGGGAGGGTACTTATAAAAGTAGAGATCAACCTCAAGTTATTACTCATTTGTGTGGGGCAACTTGGTCACATGGAAAAGTCAAAAAGAAAAGAGTGGTGTCCAAGAGTAATGTTGAATTAGAGCTCAGAGTGTTCGCTCAAGGCATTATGGAGGATCGTGGATTAAAACAAGTCATGGATGAAATATATGTCAAAGTGGGACACACCATTGAAATTGTATTGTGATAACAAGGCTGCTATAGCTGAATCCTATTCAACATGAAAGGTCTAAGCAAGTGGAAGTAGGCAAACATTTCATTAGAGAAAAAGTAGAAGGCATCATATGTTTGATATATCTCCTTGTGAAACTTCCAAGTTGCTATTGTGTTGATTCCTTCGACTTGTGTTCAAGAGTTGCATAAGCAAGTTAGACATGATTAACATCTATTTTCTAACTTGAGGGTAAGTGGTTTGGCCAAAAATCTCTCAAATTGTAAATATTGGGAATTTTTATTTGTTATACTTGCTATAGATAGGAGAGGTATATTGGAGTGTTGACTATGTATCTTGGTATTTTATTATTTTTTGATTCTCTCATTGATTTTTTGGGATCTCATTCGATTCCCTTCACTATTGTAGGCTGTATATTCACTGGAGAGATGAGAATTTTTTTTTGTTTTTGAATACAAGGACACGGAAAACCAGTGTGAAACGTGAACAGAAATTAGGTCATGTTAGATTCCATGAGGGATCAACGGATGATTAAAAATAATAAGATCAAGATTTCCTTGGAAGGCCTGGTGAGTGAGCATGTCTGTACATCTATTTGCTTCTTTGAATGTATAGACAAAGGTAATGATCCAATCTTTCATAATGAATTTTCTTATTTTGTTGATAATTCCAGAGAGAGGATAGTTGTCAGGGAAATTATGCTGGATAAGCGAGAGGGCTTCTATTGAATCCGTATGTTGATTTTATTGAACTGTGCATTCTAACAAAGATGAAGTCCTTCTAAAATGCCAAAGAGTTTTGCCGAGGTATTTGGAATATCTCTTGATCCAATTTCTTTTATCGTCTTGTATGATTCCACCACGAGTTGCAGATCCATTCGAGTTGACTGCCTCGTTAATGTCAAGACGAATCCAACCTGCTTTTGGGGGTCTGCATCGCACCTTTAACCTTTTACCATCGTGACTAAGAGAATTAACTCTACATTGGAGCCTTATGTCGTTGGAGACTTGCTGGGTACTAGAGAAGGCAATGTCGACGTTCTGAATGATTTCCCTGAATGGATTTTTTTGCAATGCACCTTCCAAATGTTCTAGCAAACCTGAGCGAAAAGCCTCTGCCAAGGAGTCTTGTGTTTAGGTTTTCTACCTTAACTTTTGCATTCCAAATTATCCAATCCTACGCAAAAAGGGAGAAGAAAATATTAAGTTTAGAAGGTTTTTTCAGTTTAATCCAAACATTACGAGTTTCTATGCAATCTCATAGAATGAATTGAGGAGTCAAGAGAATTGCATCCAAAAGAGCAAGTTTGTTGAAGAGGAGTACTCCCTTCGATGTAAATAGATTTAAATTGAAGTTTGTCCCAAGCAGCTTTTCAAAGAAAGTACTTGATTTTTTCGTAAGTAAGAGAGATGAGAATATTAATTGCTTAATTCTATGCATGGCAATGAGTGGGGTAGGCTATTGGGATTGGTGTGTGGAGATGTGAAGTGGTCATTGAATTTCCAATTGGTATCCTTGACTAGTTGGCAACTATTGGCGATGATGGTGGGGTGCTTGCTTCAAGAATCGCAATGGACAGTGGCTGGAATGTGGCAACAGCTGCTAGGTAGGGTTTTAGGTGAAGGAAAAAATGGTGTGATAACGAAGAAAATATATAAGGAAGGGATGACTAGTGATTGGAATGATACCATGAAGAAAAAGAAAGAGTATGAAGAACGAGTGGGATAAAGCATGGAAGATATACAATGGAACAACAATTTCTCTCTCATCATTTTAACAATTAGTCGTCTATGCTTTGTTTAAGAAGTCGTGGTTTTATTTTGTTTGTTTATTTTGTTTTCCAAAATTATATTACATCTAAGAAAATAACCAAATTAATTTGGCATGATTTTTTAGTTGTCTTTCTACTTTTTTCTCCTTTAACATGTTGCTTTTGAAAATAGTTTATGTGGAAGTTTTGACTAATTATTTATGTTGTTTACATGTCCCATTTTCAAGATTGATTTGTTTCCTCCTCCAGTGGGTGAAGGGTCATCCTATGAAGCTCTCTTTAAGGACATCCGCCCATCTTTGGATTGGGGCCCTAAGAAAGGTTGGACAGTGCCTTTACCCAAGGTGTGTTTGCATCTCTATTTGGTCCTCTATTTGTCCTAGGATTTAATTACGGAAATAGCTTCAGTTATTTATATATTTTTGGAGAAGTCAACAATTTGCTTCTATTTGGCAAGAATGTTCGCATAGATGATGCACCTAACCCCCTATTTGGTTGGAGGGGAGGCGAGTGGATAAATTTTCCTCCCTCACCCTCTAAAATCCCCTCCCCTCCCCTCTAAAACCTTCCCCTTAAATTGAGGAAATTCCTCCCCCCATCAAATGGACTGTTGTTAATCTAGAGTAAATTGTTAAAATTTAAATGAATATTTATTGATAAAAGACTAACTCAAATCAACAAGTATCCATTCAAGTTTTGACAATAAGTAATCTTTGACTGATATAAATTTCTTCAAATAGTCCTTAATTGATATTTTCCTTTTTTTTATAGTTAAGTTTCCTTTTAATGATTTAAAGTCAGGATATATATATATATATATCTATATATAATCCTTTATTTATGTTTAAATTAGTTTAATAGTTCAAATCATCATCATCATCATAATATTTATTGAATTTGATTTAGATTATTTTGTCTTCATACTCTTACCAATTTTTTTCTTCCTCTTCTGTTCTTCTCTTTTGCTCTCTCTTCCTCCTCCTCCCTCCTTCACTCTTCCCCTTGTTCTACATCACAAGGGTTTCAAAAGAGACATAGGATTGATAATAAAGAAACTTTTGTGCTAGTGACAAAATTTAATGCTATCAAAGTAGTGCTATTAGAAAACTTAAAATCCAAACTTCTCGACAACTCTAGTGGATCTCTCAAACCATGCTTATGGTAATTACTTCAGCCCACAGAAAGACTCAGAGTCTGTGTACTCTATTGGATCTCCATATCCTAGTACGCCTTGAGGAACTTTCATGTACGCTTTGATAAGATTCTGGATAGAATTCAGACTTATTCAATAAGAAAGAAGCAAAAGATAAATTAGGATTAATTTCATTTAATTTAGTATTTTATTTAGTTTTTGGATATTTATTCAGATTTTATTTAGTTATTTAGATTCAGATTTTATCTAGTTAGATTTTATTCAGTATTTTAGATTTTAGGAAATCTTATTTAGTCATCTAGTTATCTAGATTTTATTCATTATCTTAAATAGTTATCTAGATTTTATTTTAGATTGTATTTAGCATTATAAATATGAATAGCAACTGTGAAGCTAGCATATCATGAGATTAATAAAATAGTCTTTCAAACCCTTTGGAGATTCTCCCGAGCGTGGCTATTGAGAAAAATATAGAACGAGATTCTTGTTCTATATCATCTTACTATATTTATTCTTGTTATTTCTTCCAGTTATTCTAAGCTCCTATTAATTTGGCATCAGAGCTATGATTACTACTCGTACGGGTCAAGAAACAAACCATCCTGTCAATTCATCCAATCATTCCCTAGAAAATCAAGACTCGATCATTTCAAATCTAGTTGCCATTGCCTCAAGACTCGAAACTCTTGATTTATTAAAAGAGAAAATAATTTAGGTACTCGAAGCCTCTGTACTCAACAAAGGCAAAAATGCCAAGAGGGCTCCTGCAGGTGTTATTATGAATAAGAAAGTGAAGAAGAGCAAGAAAATCATAGACGTAGCAGATTTCATCGCACAAAAATTGAATTCCCAAAATTTGGTGGAGGTGATCCACGAGGTTGGTTCCTAAAGGCTGAAAAATACTTCAAATATTATGGCACACTTGAAGAAGATGAAGTAGACATAGCTTTGTTGTCTTTGGAAGGTGACGTCCTCAACTTGTTTGCTTGGATCAGCCATGAATGGACGCTTCATTACTGGGGTGAACTAGTGACAACTTTTCAGGAAAATTTTGGGCAAAAAAACCCTGACGAATTCTTGTTGCAGCATCAAACAAGAAGGAAGCGTGCAGGAATATAGAGCAGAATTTGCTACACGATCATCGCGAGCCAAGAATTTGCTAGAGCACTGCCTACTCGATGTTTTTTGAACGGACTGAATGATGACCTGTGCGCAGATGTACGTATTCACAAACCCAGAAGTGTTTATTGAGCTATGAGTCTTGCACTGGAGGTTGAAGGGAAGCTTCTCTCTCGGGGGTCTAAGCTGAACGTTCTACAACCTAGAATCGATATAATTCTTCTTTTGCCTTCGCACGAGAAAAGACGACTCAGGCCCAGAAAGCTTCGACGTTGTCTTTGAACTAGTACAAAAACCCAGCAACGTCTTCATTCAACATTACATCATCGAGCTTGGCCAGACTAGCTTCCATAGATGCCGAGCACCTATGCAGGAGGGAGAAGGGCCTTTGCTTCCGCTGTGGGGACCAATTTTGGCTTGGGCATCGATACAAGAGTTCGTTATCCTTAATGGAGGTCACAGAAGAGGACGAGGAGATTATTCCTCCACTCGAGGACGCTGCACTCGAAAGAAAAAGAACCACATGGAACTGAATTTCATTAAATGCCATCCTAGGTAGTAACTCTGGGTCAGCAATGAAACTTAGTGGAAGGTTGGGCTCTCGATAGGTGTTATTGTTAGTGGATAGTGGGTCCACACAATTTTATCTCTTAATGCATTAATCCAAGAACTTCATCCACCTACCCAATCTATTTCTACTTTTGGAGTTCAAATCAGTGACAATAGTATTGTGCGTTGCAACTGAATCTGCAAAAATGTGGAAGTAGAACTAACAGGTCTAACCACTAAGGAAGATTTTTTCCCTTTACTCTGGGGGGGCTGATCTGGTTCTTGGTGTTAAGTGGCTAGCATCTCTCAACACAGTGCAAGCCAATTGGAATAAAATTTTTACGATTTTCTGGATAAATGGTAAGAGGTATAAGCTACTGGGAGTCCCTAATACTGCTAGAGGTACTCAACTTAACTCAATGCAACAAATTGAAGCTTTCCCTGACTCTAAACCTCTCCAATATTTCAACCCGGGACTTTAATGGCAGCATTCCCATCTGTTTTTGAAGAAACCACAAACTTGCCACCATTTAGAAATCACTCACATACCATTACCCTACTACTTGGGGCCAATTCTCTTAATTTACGACCATATAGGTGTCCTCATTATCAAAAAACCGAGATTGAGAAGCAAGTTGAAGAATTACTAAAAATACTAAAAAAAGGGTTCATTCAGGCTAGTTCTAGCGCATTTGCCAGCCTAGTCTTGTGGTCGCAAAGAAGGATGGTTCATGGCGTTTTTGTGTAGATTATCAAAATTAAATAGCATCACAGTTCTAGACAAATATCAATTCCCAATATTGATGAGTTATTAGATGAGCTACATGGGGTGATTTATTTCTCCAAATTAGATCTACGATTTGGATACCACAAATTGGGATGTCACCTGATGATATTTACAAAACGGCATTTTGAACCTATTTGGGCACTATGAATTCACAGTCATGCCTTTCGACTTAACTAATGCTCCAGCCACTTTTCAAGCAGCTATGAACAATTCATCCTTATTTATGAAAATTTGTATTGGTATTTTTTGATGATATTTTGATCTACAGTTCCTCCTTCCAACAGCACTAGGATCACTTGCATACTATCTTGCAAAAACTACAGGAAAATGTGTTCTATGTCAATTTTAAAAAATGCTTTATAAGGAGGCCAAGAGTTCCTTTTTTAGGACAAGAAATTCTACCCAAGGAGTAGAGGTGGAAGCTGAAAAGGTGGAGGCATTACGTGAATGGCCTATTTCAAAAAATATAAAGGAGTTACATGGGTTTTTAGGCCTTGCTGGATATTACCGATGTTTTGTGAAGAATTTCGGGATTATTGCGCGACCCCTTACTGATGAGTTGACTAAGAAGGATGCCTTCTTATGGTCTGAACCAGCTCAAAAGGCCTTTAATCACTTGAAGCTTGCATTGATGATGGCACTTGTTTACACTTGCCTAATTTTGAAGAGGAATTTACAGTTGAATGCGATGCATCCACCGAAGGGATTGGGGCTATACAGTTGCAAAACAACCATCCCATTGCTTACTTCAGTAAAGGGTTTCTTTCTCTTACTGCTTCAAGTCCACTTACGATCGTGAACTCCTTGCATTAGTACTGGCAATGCAAAAATGGTGTCATTAGCTCCTCGGGAGGCATTTCTTTGTTAGAACAGATCACGCCAGTCTCCAATATTTACTACAACAACGTATCACCACCAACACTCAACAAAGACTGATCATCAAGCTTTTACCATTTAATTTTACTATTATCTATAGAGCAGGAGTGAAAATAAGAGGACTGATGCGTTATCAAGACAACGGCAACATGCAGATTTTTTTCAGTTGGCAATCCTTTTACGCTGGAGCTGCATGACCTCCCTTGAATTGGCCTTAGATCCATTCACTAATGCAATAATGCAGGATTTGCAAAATGATCCAACATCTTGTCCTAGATTCCACTTGGTTAATCAAAAACTTTTCTATGATCACCGAGGTAATTCCTTCTTATTCATCCCAGTTACGACCAAAGTTACTAGCAAAAGCCATTCTACTACTATTGGAGGACATGGTGGTTTTCTTAAAACATTTAAACGTCTCTTGGAGAATTTTTATTGGCCAGCAATGAAAGCAGATGTCAAAGCATATGTGCGATATTATGCCACTTGTCAGCAAAATAAGCATCAAACTTTGGCGCCACTAGGACTTCTTCGACCCTTACCTGTACCCTCTCAAATTTAGGAGGACATCTCAATTGATTTTATCACAGGTCTTCCAAAGTCTGGTGGGTTTGAAGTTATTTTGGTAGTGGTGGATCGTTTGAGCAAGTATGCCCATTTTCTCGCTCTTTCACATCCTTATATTGCCAAGAAGGTTGCCACAGTCTTCTATGAGGAAATTATCCGCCTACATAGGGTACCTCGCTCAATTGTCTCTGACAGGGACCCTATCTTCATGAGCTCATTTTGGCAAGAGTTATTTCGATTAAGCCAAACCCAGTTGAAGATGAGTACTGCTTACCATCCTTAAACAGATGGTC